ACATTGATCACATCACCCCCACACACATTACATCAATGCTTCCTTCCAACAACTCCAAAAGACCTCTAAAAGTTGTCCCTGCCATTTAAATAACCTTTTTCTCTACATCTAGAAAGTACATGTTCCGGAAAGTCCTCTTTTCCTCTTTGTTTATTTTTTATATGTGGAACCAAGCAATGCTCTCAGCCTATTCCAGCCAAGACAGAATCACAGAATGGTTAAGGTTGGAAAAGACCGCTGAGATCATTAAGTTCAACTGCCAACCCACCCCACCATGCCCACTAACCATGCTCCGCAGTGCCACATCCACACAGCTTTTGACCACCTCCAGGTGACTCCACCACCTCCCTGGGCAATCTGCTTCAGAACCTCATCGCTCTCTCCAAGAAGAAATCTTCCTTAATATTCAATCTGAACAACAACTGCTGCACTGTGCATCGCCACCAGTCTGACCACCAGTTATCTGGGGGAAGAGGGCACACCTTGCCACAACGCCCTTTCAGCTGCAGAGAGCAGTGAGGTCTCTCCTGAGCCTCTTCATCTCCAAGCTAAACAATCTCCATTCCCTCAGCAGCTCTCCATCAGACCCTTTCACCCCCTCACGTAACGGTACAGAGATGAGCCAGGAGAGCTGAGAACACAGCAGACAGGCCGCAGAAACACAGAGCTCGCAAAAGTCCCCCCCAGCTCATCGATATTTTCCCACCGAACCACGTCCCTCCGTACAACACCGACACGTTTCTTCAACGCCTCCGACCACGCCGCACAGAGATGCCGGCCCCGTTTTGGGCACTCACCGCACAGCATGAAGAGCAGCACGCAGGCCAGGGTTGCCACGATCACCAGCAGGGTCAGCCCGATGCTCTGCCACATGCTGCCGGGCCCTTCCCCACCGCCACGAGCGGGGCCCGACTCCCGACGCCGGCGGCTCGGCGGCCCGCTCGCCCCTCACGCAGGGCCCGACCCGGACCGGCGGCACCGCTGGGCACGGACAAAAGCCCGAAGGTTACGGGGCGAAGGCAGCGCCTCGCACAGCCGCCCGCCGCCCCGGAGGAAGAACCGGCAGAGCCCAGCGCCAGCCGAGCCGGCGGCGGGGTGGGCTTTGGAGCGCGGCGTGGTGACGCGCGCGGAGCGCGGAGCATGCCGGGAAACGTAGTTCCGCTCCCCGGGGGCGGGCGGGCTCCGAAGGCAGCGCAGACTACAATTCCCAGCGTGCCCCGCGACGCCGAGCGAGCTCCCGCGGGTGGAGCGTGCGCCCGCGTTATAGCCGCCGCCTTCGGTGCGCGGCGTTTGCGTGCGGCGTTACAGCGGGGCGCCTGGGCGTCTGCCGAGGCAGCGTTCTTACACCCGCACCACCCCGCTGCGGTTCCAGTTCCGCGTGACCTTGGTGCCCATGCCCTCTGCTGACGCTGCAGCTGCCTTCCCTCAGAGAAATCAGGTTACCAGGAGCCCTGCGATAAAGGTGGTGCTCCTGGCCGGCTCTGACCTCGCCCTTAGCACCGCAGCACGGTTATCAGCTTCCCTTCCAGCCTGGGAGGCACTCCTAACGTTTATAAAACACGTGCTAAATCCACTGCTGTACAATGCTGTGAAGATGTCACCGCTGCAGTGGGATGGCACAGAAAAGCCAGTCCATTTCCCTTCGTGTTTCTTATACGGTTTGTCTTAAAATCCCCCCTTCCAACTGAAGCCAAAATTTGTGCTTTTGCTGCCCACTGAGCGTCACACCTGCATCCCCCTTTCAGGATACCTCCAACCCCAGAGTACTCACACACGCAATCATGGTACGGCCTGGGTTGCAAAGGATCACAATGCTCATCCAGTTCCAACTCCCTGCTGTGTGCAGGGTCACCAACCAGCAGCCCAGGCTGCGCAGAGCCACATCCAAATTGGCCTTGAAATCCCCCACTCAACTACCTAAAGCTGCTGTCACTTCACCAGCTCAGCTCCTGAGTTCCATCTTCCCATTTCAGCCTTTCTCTCCCAGCAGCCCCAGCCCTGGTTAATGCCCTGCCAAACCCACCTGTCATGTCTTGCAAGCGTTGTCCTACCTGAAACACCTTTCCTGATGTGTCTCAATAACCGAATACTGTGACATGTCTCCTCATCTTTCACTCTAAATTGTTACACGCATGCTTAAGCAAGATTTCTTCTGTATTGCAAACAAACAAGGCAGTAACAGTTACCACCATATTAACTTCTGAAGAAACAAATAAGTTCCCTCCTAGCCATGCTGCTCTGTTTCTCTAATTTCTCATGAGTGGTTAGAGCAAATTCTACGGGTATGGAACTGGAATGTTCTCTGTCCTGTAAAACAGCTGTCGCATTTTGGAGCTATTCAAAAATGTTGTATACATCGTTATACAGCTCCAAACAGTTTTATGATTAGCAGTTAATTAATTCACATCATGTCCCCAAACCACATCACAGAGCCCCTCAGCACCCACAGACTGATGAAAAAATATTATCCTGGTATGAAGTCATCCCGGAGTGATAAATATACACCATAATGATACCATCCAAGGCAGTATGCTAGGAAATAAAGATGAAAGCAGCTAACAATTACATTTTTCATATTACACTGCACAGGCAGACAGCTTTTTAATCAACATGTCTTCAGTGTGGAAAACCTTAGCTTTATTTAAATGTGCCAAACATACAAAATGAAGGGGTGTCAGGCTTGAACGCAAGCCAGCTCCAAATAGTAAATTCTCTTAGTTTGAAAGAACTAGCTCATAAACTGAAGCTGATATCATTTTGGTTGCTGGTACTAGCTGGTCTGAAACATTCATCTTCTGCCAATTAAAACTTTCTCAAGTTATACTACAAGAAATGCTCTCCCAAAATTGGTCCTTCTTTACTAGAAGCAAGTCTTCTGTGCTCCAGACTTTCTGCTTTCACTGGCCTGTTGTTGCTGGAGGTCAATACTGATGTAGGACTGAAGTTGTCCTCAGCACTGACAACAAGCCAGTAAAAAAGGCTGTATAAAAGGCATTATGGTTGAAACGGTTAAACAAGCAAATCCTCATGGGCACAGAGAAGAGGTAACTGTGGATGTTACATTTTAACCAAGCCACAAGATAAAAGGAGAAGCACTTCCTCCTCCAATCATTTGGAGAATAGAATCTTAGTTATCTGATTTTTACCTAAGGCTATAAAGCCTTTCCTATGGACCACATCTATGTCAAATGAAACACGTATGAAGATTTCTATCTGAATGAAAAACAAACAAGCAACAACAACAACAAGCCAATAATATTGTATGTATGTATTTATTATGTACCATGGGGCAGGATGACTACCTTGACAATAACCCAGCATCTGGCATGGATTTCACAGAGCAGCACTGATATGCAGTGTTGCAAATAAGCCAGCTAAAGACTAGCTGTAATCCAGTTTCTGAAGGCACAGTCCTTATCTAAAGGGTGTGAAAGCCAATGCACCCAGACCAACCAGTTCCTTCACAGCAATCAGTTAACCAGTGCTTATGTTTGTGCTGCAAAACAAGATGAGGGATGTTCTCACCTGTCACTCATCAGGTTGAATGAAACATATGCTCTAAGTATCAGCTGCTTTTGGACTTGCCCCTTTTGGCCTTCTTTTCAGCTCACGTGTGGGGAAAATTTTATGTTTTGCTTGCATTTAATTTATTTGTAGCACAGCTTTCACTGATGTCAGTTGCAGCTGTAAGTGCTCAGCACTTTGACAAATCTACACTGAATTACCCTAAGGCAACAGCAGAAGGAAGAAAAAATCATTAACTAGCCTAGAAAATAAAAATATTTAAATGATTGACCCATAATCATATGAAAATTGTGTTATATAATCAGTGTATTCTAGTCCTCCTAAAGAATTTCAGACACTTAATGAGATTATCTTTTCTCCTTTTCAACACCCTTGCATCGTTCACAGCCTGCTTTTCATTTATCATACACTCTGTGCATTAATGAAGGAGGAGTCTTGCCAAAGGCTACTAAAGTAAATAAGGCTTATTTAAATGAATATGCACAAGATGAGCAAGCTAAAGTAATCCAGGCAGTTTTTGTTCTACCATGTCCTATTTTTTAAATCCTTGTCTTGGTAAAAGAAATGTATTTAAAGGTAACTGGCAACCACACCAAATGCTTTAGCCAAAACTGCAAATTTGACCCAGTTACCCAAGAAGGTGGCTGAGTAGTAATGGTCATGCAGAAAGTGCAAAATGTAGCCCTTTCTTCTACCCAGAATGCCCTGACTTTTAACATTATATAGTACTATTTCCCAGGGAAGGAGACAGAGAAGAGCTTGAGTGCACCACTTTCTCTTCGCATTACCCCATTCTATAAGCTCCTTGAAGAAGGACATGGTTCCTAATGTAGGTCTCAACACAGCTGGGCAATGATCCCCAGCTGGGACTTCTGTACACTATGATAATCCTAAATGTATGAGAGAAACTGTGCAGTTCCAAGCAAGCCACCACCGTCAGACCCTCACCAGAGATATCTGGACAATGAACAACAGAATATCTAAGCACAGTCTCTTGTGTTTACCTTCAGCTTTTGGTTCAGAGCCTCTAATCTTTTCCTGGTTCTTGGCTGATTTAAATGAGCAACACAGGCTATTTATATGAAGATGCTAAGTGTGAGATGGATGGGAAGATTCTATTTGTGGAAATTTATAAAATACCAGGCTGCATAATTAAACTATAACTGTGAGCACAGCCAGGGACTTTTACTGGACGTTTTGCAATTGCATTCCAGCTTTAGCAGAGTGAATACCTGCAAGTATTCCTTTATTCCGAAAGAGGGTGCTAAAACACAATATTACAAAGCTGTGCAATCCCTCAAATTAATACTTTCTGCAGCATATATTATGGCTTAGTTTTTATTTTACAATCCCACAGCTGGCAGTTTAATACAACGTTTAGTTTTACATTTACAGGCATATTACACCAGCTATAGTTTCAAAAACTAAAAACATTGTAAAAAAAGTTTTGTATTATTTCTGTGTGCTGAGGCAGGGTTTGGATTCACCTGTTTTGCATGGAAGGTGACACCATGCATTCGGTTGGATCCCAGGCACCGAGCATAGCAGATATGTGGCAGGCGTGTTATCTTTGAGTGGTTGCTGAACAGCATGTTCTGCTGCAAGAGCAGGCAGAAAAATAAGTCAACGTGTGGAAAAACAGAACAGCTGAAATTCCTCAGAAACACAGAGAGTAAATGGAGGCAATTGAAACAGCTCAGGGACAATGCTGTTACATAACTACTGTTCATGATGAAATACCACAGGGCATTAACTTGAGTTCTGCTGATGTAGGGATTGCTGCTGGTTGTCAGAAGCCACCTATGAAGGCTGAGGTGGGAAAGAACATTTGAAGGGCAGCAAAGATCCAACCCCCTGCTCAAGCAGAGTTGTCCAGGTTGCAAAGGGCTGTATCCAGTCAAGCTTTGGGCATCTCTGCATCTCAGGAAGGGCGCCTTTGAATTGCATTGACTTTGGAGCTATCAGGTCCCACTTGTTTCCAGCTTAGAAGGAAACAGGATGGACAATGTACCATTGTCAATCACTGCTCTTCATCACTATCTCCTTCAAAACTTGGAATTAAAAGTCAGGACTTGCCTATTTCACAAATTTGCCCAGTCAACAGAACCTGTACAAATCACTGAAAAAAATACCTTCTTTCCCTGAGCAGCAACCTTAAATGGAAGAGGTGATCATTCTTGTCTCGTCAGCTCTATTTCTAATTCTGTTGACAGAGAACACTGGTTACGCACCTTAAGTGTGATGTTATGGGGAGTTACCAGGTTAATGTCATAGGCTTTTGGGCTAACTCTCAGTGAGTGTGCTTAAGAACTGTTGGTAACAAGACTGCATGGAATCAGCAAAAGCTAACAATTTTGTTATTTCTTTGTATAATGCCATTTTAATGATGTTTTTAGTATTTGAAACTACAGTAAAAAGATGAATGGGAGGAAAGGCTAGCAGGTCAACCTCAGGAACTGTGGTACTTTGGTACAGACTAACACACTGGAATTTGGAAGCTCAAGCAAACAAGCTTGAGTCTATAAGAGTGGGCTAGATGTTACACGAGGACATGCTTACACGTGAGACTGCTGGCACATCTCTTCTGGGCAGGCAAGCAGCACTGGGATGCTAGCCATTCTCACTACATTTGGTGTATCTGAATCTAGAGCCAAGAAAAAGCAAGTAGAGTAGCATATGAACAAAGCTCTTCAGGAATGATTTGAGGTTTAGAACATCAGTGCTACGTTTTGGATCAATACAGGCTTTATGCATCAAGCACACTTTAGTTTGTGAAGGTGCCACCTGTTGCACACTGCACACGGTCCCTTGGCTTGCTTCCATGGCCTGTGCCCCTGGCTCTGGGAAAGGCTGGTCACTGAGCTCTGCTTGGCTAGATTCTGAGCAACCAGAACGGTGCGGACAGCGCTGGAAGCACTTTGTCATTTGTGGCGCGTTGTTGTTGACAATTCTTTATGTCAAAAATAAAATTAAAATGGATAATTTTAATATTTTGGGAAAGATTATTTTAAATTCACAAACCAAAGGCTGTTTTATTAAATACTGGGGGAAAGACATTTTCAATAAGCTTTGGTAGAACCATAGAATCAACTGGCTTGGGTTGGAAGGGACCTCAAAGATCATTAGGTTCCAACCCCCACACCACAGACAGGCTTGCCAACCGCTACATCAAACAATAGATAGGCTGCTCAGAGCACCATCCAGCCTGGCCTTGAATGCCTCCAGGGACAGGGCATATACAATCTCTCCAGGCAGCCTGTCCAGCACTTCACCAGCTTCTCCATGAAAAACTTCCCCCTCTGACATCTTATCTAAATCTCCCCTCTTTTAGTTTAAAGCCATTTCCCCTTGCCCTATCAGTATGTAACCATGCAAAAAGTTGGTTTCCCTGCTGCTGATAATCTCCCTCTACATATTCAAAGGCAACAATGAGGCCACCCTACAGCCTTCTCTTTTCCAGGCTGAACAAGCCCAGTTCCCTCAGCCTGTTTTCACTGGGGACCTCCAGCCCTCCAGATGATCAGAGATGATCATCTCTGTGGCCTTCCTTTGGACTTGCTCCAATAGCTCCACTTCTTTTCTGAGCTGGGGAGCCCAGTCCTGGATGCAGTACTCCAGATGGAGTTTAAACAAATGTTTTATAGGAGATATAACGCCTTGCTTGCATTCAGATCAGAAATCACTTTAGAAGGTGTAGATTTTTGTCTTTGTTCTAACAGGCACAAAGCCTCCCCCCTTCCCTTTCTCCTGTTTAGTATCTGAGCCGTCACGGAGGGGGCCAGTAGCTCCCACTCTTTCACCTCTTCTCGGGCCAACCTAAACAAACACGTGGCTACCCATTGCCCCAGTTACGTAGAGAAGGGACATCGATCTCAGCTTGGCACAGCGCGTGGAAGAACCGAGGCTTCAGGTCAGGGCAAGTACGAGTGCCTGGGCACCGACCGCACGCTCCCAAACCGACACCTCCGGCGCTGAACCCTCCCCGCCGTTTCTCAGAGGCGTCCTGCCATTCTCCACGCCGACTGCGGGGCGGTGGCGGGGCTTCATCCTTCGGGCTGCCGGCCGGGAGGCGGCGCGGCGGGCCGGAGGCGGCGCCTTATAGGGCGGGCGCGGCGGGAACGGCGGCAGAGCCGGGCCGCTACCCTGGACAGCGCCTCACAGCCGCGGAGCCATGGTGAGTGCGGGAGGCCGCGAAATGGCGGCTCCGGGACACGAGAGGAGTCCAGACCGCAGGCTGAGCCCTGGCCGCGGGGAGGGAGCGGGCAGCCGGGGCTGCAAGGCGGGGAGCGGGGAAGGCAGCCGGAGGAGCGGGGTGGGGGGCGCCGGGGGTGGGCGGTGCGCCGTCCCCTTGGAAGCGTGTGGGGGCTGCTGCGGTAGGTGCACCCCGTTATCTCCCTGCCTGCAAGCAGGTGCGTTTTTGTCTATTTCGAGTCGCGTGTGAGCAGCTTACATAAAGAGATTACTGCCGGTGGCATGATAATCGAAGTGTCCACACTAGCCATACAATCTGCTGTGGCACACTTCCTTTTTTTCCGCGTAGTGAAGTGAATGAACAATGGAGTTTTAGGTTCCAGTCTGACGTTTAGGAGAGTCAAAGTGGAACAGTGCAGCCATCTGTTTAGCAAGTAGGAGACTCTCTGCAAAGCGCATCGTGTCGTGCCGTCATGGTAACTTCCCGGAGGACCTCATCCCATTTGCAAACGGCGAGGCACGAAGCGTAGCGCTGACCTTACACAGTACAAGAGCACCGTGCGTGTGTTCTGCACTCCGAGGCATAACGGGGCTGAATACCCCGTCCAAGCTTGTCGTATCAGAAGTGGTGGCATGATTTCTTCACAACCTGATTCTTCTTTCATACAACTTAACAGCATTGCTTTTTTCCCAAATGATTTTGCAATATACACTGTAATTTTTGCCCTTCACGCGTACAAATCAATTTGGAATCCCCTTTGCGGTGATCAGCTAAGATATGAATGATATTCAATTCCATTAATTAAGTCCTCTTCCTAACAGTCACCTTCTGTAATTCTGAATTTGTTTCTCCTATTCAGTGTGTTTGCAGTCCACTCAGAGGTATATGATAGTTAGGTTACATATTAGAAGGAAGTTTTTCACACAGAGGGTGGTGAAGCACTGGAACAGGTTGCCCAAGGAGGTTGTGGATGCCCCATCCCTGGAGGCATTCAAGGCCAGGCTGGATGTGGCTCTGGGCAGCCTGGTCTGCTGGTTGGTGACCCTGCACATAGCAGGGGGTTGAAATTAGATGATCTTTGTGGTCCTTTTCAACCCAAGCCATTCTATATTCCGTGATAAACGGTACATAAATTTATAGAATTATAGAATCATAGAATTTCCCAAGTTGGAAGGGACACGTGAGGATCATTGAGACCAACTCCCAGATTCACACAGGACCATCCAAAAATCAGACCATATTCCTGAGAGCATTGTTCAGATGCTTCTTGAAGTCTGGCAAGCTCAGTGCCATGACTTTCTAGGAGCTCCAGAATGGCTTTCCACTATTTTACTGAAGAGCTATTTCTTATAGTGCTCGGTAAGACAGGAAAACAAAACATGACTAAGTTACTGATCTAGTACTTGATCTAGCAGTTGACAAGCCTGCTTGCAGCAGTGCGGTTGGAACCTGGTGATCTTTGAGGTCCTTTCCAACCCAAGCCATTCTATAATTCTACGATACTACAACTACACAAAGCCTGAAATACCAGCCATTGATACCATCTCTCTTATATAATGGATTACAGTTACAGATAAAACTGGCGTTCCAGAAGGCAATGTGTGTCATTTATCAGTGACTGGTACAAGTAATATCCAGGTTGAGACAGCTTGAAAGAAAGTTAGAATAGCCTGAAACAGGTAAAGTATTTCATTTGGGCTCATCTCATTTGGACTGAGATGACATCAATCATATGGGTACAAATAAAAAAATGACAAATATCAACAACTTTGTATTCCTGCTAATGGAAATTATAGTTGACACTTTTCCCTAACCTATCATTTCTGTTTCTTAGAGCTGTTCCATTCAGCCTTTGAATTATTCTTTGAACAGCTGGCAGCATTAGCTAGATACATGTGTTCAGAGTTACACATGAGCTCTATTAGCAAGTTTTTGCTCTCCTGTATCTCCAATTATCTGTTATTGCTGAAAAGTGGCTTAGATTTTGCATTATTCATAAATGAACGCATTCTGAGGGGAAAATGACCAATTTGGTAGAATCCCCTAACCAAAGGTTGCTTTGGCTCTAAAAGTTTGAAAGAGTGTCATGGGAGCATTAATGCCTGAAGATGAAACCCAAGCTTTTGATGAAAACTGCTGCAATGAAACTAATACAGGGTTAAAAGTTGCAGCTCATGAGTGTCTAGGTAGTCTTGGAGCTGACTGAGGGAAGAGAGGAGGATGCTACTGACGGTACCAGGAGCAAAGAAATAATAACCTTAGATTTTATGCCAAGAAGTACGAACAGTATTTTATCATCCCTTTCTGAAGTGGCACAAGCAGGTATGTGTTACTAATGTCCCTTCTACTCCAAGAGTTTCATCAACACCATAGGCATTACATCGCTATTACTTATAGAATGTAGCATAACGACTCTTAAATTCATTTTCAACAGTCTTTGTGAGGCTTTCAGTGTTTCCTTTTTATCCCCACGCTATGAAGGCAACCACAGTGAGATAGTTCTGCTTATGCAGTTCAATATGGCTGTGCTTACTTCAGTGGATCTAGGTCAAATTACACTGGCTAAGGATTTGGCTGCACCCTTGAACTTTAAACCGATTATAAATTTTGATTTGTCAGTATATTTTTTGTGGGGTCAAATCCCACATTTAGAGAGTGAGAGAGTGTGTAACCTTGCACAGTGCACGGCAACTAATGCTTACAAAGAGGCTAGATAGCACTACGGTAAGCATAAACATGGGGATGGCATGACACGGTAATTAATAGGTTCAAGTAGCTCTACAACAGTCCAGGTGCAGATGGGTTATTTAGATAGAAGGTAGATTATTTTTTTTTAAGTTTTCTAAGAAACTTAGGCAACCAGTGTAATTTGAGATTGATGAAGGATACCTAACTCTTCCAAGAACCATGGCCATCATGTCAGGGTATGATGCTTGATAAGTAAATTCTTATTTGCACAGCTTCTTATAAATACCTGTTATATAAACTTGCATCCTGGCCTTGGTGTTGACTCCTTTCTTCCCTAGGAATACTCCCCCCATTCTTTAAGACTGGCCATTGCATCTTCATTACAATCACTGTGACCTGTAAAAGAAACAAATATCCATTGTTTGTCAGGTACTTCATTTAACGTTAATTTTGTTTAATAGCATTTCTTGATTTTTATTAAAGAAAATAGTTGATCAGATCCAAACACATGTAATTTGAGACTCAAATCCATATTTAGTGATAAAGTAATATGCCACAAGTGCAGCTTGATTTGTCGTGGAAGAAAGGATGGAGATAAATTAGGAGGATAAAACTAAGTGTACCACAGAGCCAAGAGCTGCTGGGATGAGTCTGCCTTGTGAAGGTGCCGTGGAAGGGCATACGTAGCATTCCCCTGCTACACCAGAAAAGCACCACTTGGTGAGTCAGGGTCCTGCAGCACTGCCACATAATAAATGACACGCTTAACTCAGGCATTTCAAATTTATTAGCCAATTTGTAAGAGCTTGGCAACAGCTGAGCTTACAAATCCATTATTTGCATGCAGCCTGCATGCCTTGCCTTACCATGTGCTAAATACTTGAAGCAGCCTGGCTTCATCTTTACCCATAGGTCTGCTGCCCAGCTTACAAGTAGGATTCAGCATGAAATCAAGTCAATATTTATGTCTTCTGTGGAGGTACTTACATACCTGGGTAACACAGCATAACAAACAAAAACAAAAAGAAACTCAAAGCTTTAATTCTGGAGGGGATGAGGGATCATTTTTTACAACTTCAGTTACATTGGCATTAATACTGAAAGCACTCTGTGTAGATGTCACTCTAACAACAACTAAGTGGGTTGCTTTTTTTCTTTTTCTTTTCATCTTAAATTCCTCCAGCTAATAACTTTTATACTGCACTGCGTTTGCTCTTTCCCAGTCAAAACTGACAGCAGTACGCAGTCGTTGAAGTCAGATGTCACAAACTGAAGGAAATAAAGCCTGATGTCTCAGAAATAGCTACATGAAGATATGTAATTAGAGGACAAAAAAAATGAGATTGTTTTCATCATTGCTGGGGAACATTTTGCTTCGTTTCCCCAGGAGGAGGACAGATATGGAAATGAAACAGTAAATTCTTCATATTCTGTGTCATTATTTGAAGGCCAAACACAGCAAGGAATGGCAGTTGGAAGTTGGGTGGCCGAGTTTCAAATAACTATCCTAAAATCAAGCATCCAGAATCTCAACAGACCTTTCTTTTCTCAGTTCTTAAAGACCTGCTAAAGTAAGCCAGTCCCTAGTTATCATCCAAGACACTTTGCTGCTAGCAAAGGCAATGTACTATGCCAGTCTAACTGGAGTACCCTACAGAGATGAAGAGAAGTCTACAGTTGCTTTTATTTCTTCTGTGTGCCAGTAGCTCATGCTGTTACGGACACATGGTGTTGTTGGAGCCTCACCAAGCAGCACAGTCATTAGCATTTCTATTTTGCTTGGAGAGAAGCAGCTGTCCGGATGTTTCCACGGTGGTTTAAGAGTTCTGGACTTCCAACATTCCAGTTATATGTGGATTAGACTCTGGGATACCTACTGTTGTCATTAAGGCAGGAAGGGCACTCATTAGTTTATGCACCCTCTTATCCCGCGCCAGCAGTCTGTTTTCTTTTACTGGGGTTCCATACCCTTTAAAGAGGTGATTTTGGAGTTCATTGCTCTCATTTAAGGTTTGAAAATTGGTAAATTTAGAGTTGTGGGGGGAGGTGGTGGAGGAAAGACTCCCATGCTCTCTTTTCTGGCTTCCTTTTCAAACTGGAAAACCGGCCATCACTTCCTTTCCACTCTTCACCTAGTCTTCTTTCATCACAACTGAAGTCAGAAACATGAAATAACATTTGAAATCCGGGTTTTTGCTCTCAAGGATTTAAGGGAAAAAAGAGAGGAAAAAGTAATCAGCAGTTAACAGAAGGAGGAGGTATTTTCCTCTTGAAGTGTTGTGATGTGTTCTCATCTAACACTTTGGAAAACATGCATCAGATACTGTTTCTTTGTTTCCCCACACTACGCATGCATTTTCACAGCCAGAACAAAGTAAAAAATACCTCGTTTTCTGCATTTCACTCTGGGCTGGATAAAACTGCTCCCAGAAGTAATGTGCTCTCAAACTGGCAGGGAATAAATGGCTGGCAAAGTCATCCAGGGTGATTTCCATGCCAAGGAACTGGCACATCCTTCAGTAAGGCAGCTCTGAATAGCACCATCCACACCCACTTGCTCTCCTGTCACTGGTTGCAGCAAGCCAAGTTACTTCTACTGCAGTTCAGAAGGTCAGATGGGAGGTCGTGTGAGCTCTGCATCTGCTAAAACTTGGTATTTGTGGCAGAACAGTATTTTATTATGGACACATATTTTCTTTCCTGTGTTTGTCAATAGTCCACGCAATTCCAAGGAGAATGGCACAAAGTCTAGTTTTGTATCTTGTTGAGGCTTGTTGATCTGTTATTCATCTCTCCTCATAGTTGAAATACATGGACTGACTGCTCAAAGCTGCTCTTCTTTACAAATCCAGGAACTTTTCTAGTTTGAAGAAAGCATCCTGGCGCAACGTTTGTAAAAACATCTGCATCAATTCTCTCAGCAGGGATGATGTTTCCTTACTCCTCTTCCTGGGATAGAATCCCAGTGTCATTTTGCTGTTACACAGGAGATGGTACAAGGAGTATTAACTGTTCCCACTGGAACCAAACTAGGGCTTGGCCTACACTCTTTCTGAGATGTGCCTTTTAATATCAACAGAAAGCCATGTGTGAAGCAACACAAAAACCTCATAATTTCCAATGATGAAAAAGACATCAAGGAAAAAGCATATAAAAAAACAGTTCAGATTAAGAAGGTGTTTATAATTTTCTTTCTTCTCCCCACCTTCTGCTCTTTTAGAAAGCAGAGATGACAGATGTCTTCTAAGCCTGCCAGTACACAGGTGTGCTCGATAACAGCACAGTTGTCTTCCCCCTCCAAAGTGCATTACACATGAATTGCTTCAGAAATGCAAACCTTCCCCTAGAAATCAGCACCTTCCTTTGAAAAAGGTATTTAAGGATGCTGGATTGACCCTCAAAAGCACCCTTGGATTTTTTCCTTTCCAAATACCGGAGCAAATGGCTTTAACTGGAAGCTTAAAGATGAAGCATCATGAATCTGTCCATGCCAAAAACCACAGAAGTCAAAAGTATATAACTTTCCTGGTTTTATGGTACACTGTTTAATTTCCAAGCTTCTCTTTTCTGGTAGAAGGCTAATTATGAAGCCTAAGATTTTTATTTTTCTGTTATGTGTCAAAAGCATCACAGGATGCTCACACATCCCTGGAAAGCTGAGACACACCTTGTGATTTCTGAGAGCAGAAACACATTTGAATATTGGCTCCAAATTAGGCAATTTGTGCAGAGATTTGGGTAAGTATCATTTAGTTTATTGCTCTGAGAAATATCAGTAGCTTTCCATTTCAGTGAAAGGCAACATAGAGAACCTTTTGTTTTTAGTGCAGTTATTCCTTCCTTAGTGCTGGAGATTTTGTAAGCTTGCATTTGAATGGTATCTGAAAAAAAAAAACAAAAAAAAACAAAAAAAACAACCAACCTTGAAAGATAAAAGACTAGATGAGAGTTATTTTGCTTACAATGAAAAACTCAGAAATATCATAGAATATCCCCCAAGCTTACCCTAAAGCGTAAAGCACCGCTCCCCTCCTGCACTTTACACTTACTAAATTACCAGCATCGTGCTATTTCACACCGGATATCATTGAAACTTATCCTCAGGACTACATTTAATGCAACTTTTAATGAACAAATTTATTTTTAATCAAGTATAAGCTGTAGCCTATGGTAAGATTATAACGTATCCGTGCTCAAAGAAAATAATACCTTGACTGTATCTTCTCTAAGATCGAAGTTGAAAACGCTAGCTTTCTCACTTAGTGTGTGCAAAAGGAAGTCATCTCCTGCTGCGACACCTTTGAGAGATGGCAGAATTTAGATCAGAGAGTGTTTTTGTTGCAGATGGCAAAGTTGAAGCCTAACCCAGAGAACAAACTCAGGTGAACAGGTGTGAAAGGGAGAAACGACACAGCGCTGTATCATTTTCCCTCCAGATGTGTTTTCATGAGTGCAAAAGAGGGTTTGTATTTCAAGATTCTGGCTCACAGCTCATGGCTCCACTTACTATAAATGCATTCAGAAATACTCAAGTCCTAAGCACTCAGCAGATAAGGAATATCCTGATAAGCTAAAACCAAAGAAACCCTTATCAGTCTCCTAGTCTTCAGCAAATCTGGGGCTTCGTGTGCCTTCCTTTTTTTTTTATGCTGTCCCCACCCTTCACATGGTCTCCACCAAATATGACTGCATTGGTAGACACCAATGCAAACGTGATTCTTGGCAGTTCTCACTGGCTGCAATAAGGTGGACATGAAGGAGGACACACTAATGTGGAAGTAGAGATGTCGTGTAAAGCAATACTGAGCTAAATAACAAGGGATTCACTGCAACATGACTCTCTGTAACCCCAAAAGCAAAATGAGATAATTAAACTCCCATGATGAACTCATTCCTCAGCTCCAGAATTCCAGAATTAGATGAGGTTTGAATATTTATTACCTGAAATTATCTTGCACTTGACTCAATAAGCCATTTTGGGACATGTTATGATCAACATTCCATTGTTCAGATCTTTAAGTTAATACAACAAAAAATTGTATCTGAATGTTAAAGAAGAAATGTGTATAGTTAGGCTGAAGGAAGCATTCAATTCCATTAGAACCCTCAGATGGCTCAGTGCTTACACCTAGCTGGAAAAAGTCCTGAAGGACATCTTCAGACACCACCTAGTGATTTCTGTCTTAGTATCTTGCTGAAATTAATCATTTTAAGTAAATTGTTGGTTCTAAAGACTACGGATATTTGCATTTCTTTTACTTCACTTGCTTGAATAACCCTCGCTGCTATTGTACATTTGCCACCCCGCTGCATTTACAAATCCTACAGACTTCAAAAGAGGTGCACTGTGTTTTGCTGCTGCTTCTTTTTTTCTTAACTCCTTTGTACCTTACAAT